CCGGAGGGAGGCTGGCCGACGTCCTCGCCCAACACGTCCACATCTCCGCCCACCAGCACCACGTCAGACACCACCACCATCATCATCATCGCCACAAGACAGGTAGGAGGACACGTCGGAGGCACGAGTTCAATCATTCTGATTCCGAAAGAATGATGACACTGTTGGGAAACTTGCAGACCAATCGAGATACCCAGTGAAGTCCAGGCGATCTTAGGCAAATAGAAACTTTAAATAATTAAAAAGTCCTGACAACTTTAGAAAAATTCCTTTAGCAACGAACAAAGACAGCGTTAGCAACATAAGACCACCTTAAAGCACTCTTAGGGAGATCTAGACACCCATAGCAAACTATAGATGACTTTAGGAAAGTCCAGACACTCTTAGGAGGAACATCTTTAGCCAAACAATGTGATCTTAGTCTAATACCAAAGACCAGAGACACTGTGAGCAAACAACAGACACCCTTAATCTACTTGACCACCATCAGCAAACCAACGATTTAGCCACATACAGTTTGTTAGCCAGAGTCCAGACACTCATAGGAAAGTACATCGAGCCATAACTTCCCAGTAAGGGCTTTCTGACACAGTCAAACAGTTAGTCATCTTTAGCAAAGACAAAGGACCCTTAGAAAACAATAAACAATCACAATCAAGATGCAACGTCCAGGCAGTCTTAACCAAACAATGAACAAAATGCTTTTGGCAACCTTCAGGAAAGTCAAGACATTCTCAAGAAAGTATACAGAAACACTGAAACTTCACAATAATGGTTTCCCTAATCCCGACAGCTTTAGCCATGACCCTCTTAGTCGAAACAGACATCTTTAGAAAAGACCCGTAACAAACTTTAGACAACCTATCTATAATCCAGATACTTCCGGCAAGGTCCACAAACATCGTGAGCAAATGTTCTTGGCTAAACCTTGAATATTTAAAAGTCTAGATACTTATTAGTGAAAAACTAACTATTTTAGCAAAGAACAGAAACATCATAAGCCAACAAGACACCCTTACTCTAGTTAAAGGACTCTTTGCTTAATCTAGACACCCTTAGCTAACTACAGATAACTCTTAACCAAATGCAGTCTGTTAGCCACATCCAGACATCTTCAGCAAAGTCAAGACACCTTAAATGCTAGTTAATAAAACCTTTAGATCTCATTTGACTTTATCAGACTCCTGAGCAAAGAAGAGAAATGTAGTTGGCACCATTCTGACTGCTTGTTGTTGTTTTTGTTGTGCTTTGAGTTGGGGGTAAAACCTCCCGCTAATGCAGTCCTTCATACATTTCTATATTTCTCTAACTTTTATTCTTTTAAGCACAGAAAACTAACTTAAACTATTCCACATGTTGTCAAAGAATCCTCTTAAGACCCAGAGAAAGTCCCTGAATCCCAGTTGAGGAACAACAAGACTGAAACACTGCAGCGAGGAACTTCAAAGCTCGTCGTATTAAATCTTTAAATAAAGATGGTGTGTGTGTGTGGTGTGTGTGTGTAGTGTGTGTGTGTGTGTGTGTGTGTGTGTGTGTGTGTGTGTGTGTGTGTGTGTGTGTGTGTGTGTGTGTGTGTGTGTGTGTGTGTGTGTGTGTGTGTGTGTGTGTGTGTGTGTGTGTGTGTGTGTTGTGTGTGTGTGTGTGTGTGTGTGTGTGTGTGTGTGTGTGTGTGTGTGTGTGTGTGTGTGTGTGTGTGTGTGTGTGTGTGTGTGTGTGTGTGTGTGTGTGTGTTCAGTAACAGAGTGGGTGGGCTTGCTGTGTGATCTGGGGTGTGTGGTGGTTTATTTGGAGTGTCATATCTGTTTGTGTACTGTGTGTAAATGCAGGTTTTTACAACGCTTCTACTTCCTGTTTGGTTTAACACAGTTACTGTTTGCTTCTCTTGATTTGGTTTTTAAAGTCATTTATGGAAAGTACATGTTCTCATTAAGTCCAATGTTCTTGAGCGATTGAGTGCTGCTTTTTGAAATATATTTAAATAAGGAATCCTGTCATGCTTTTTTTCCAATGACGACAGTATTGCTGATACTCTGAAGACCAAAGCCCACAGAAAGCGGTCTTAACAACTCTAGTGTGTGTGTGTGTGTGTGTGTGTGTGCACGTGTGCTCAGATCTCTCCTTTGTTTTCATGCTCTGATTCCCTGTGTCACCGCTCCCCCAAATTAGCAAAGTCAGAGAGATGTTTCCAACAGAGAATCTGCTGGAGGAGTTTGAGCCTCCGCAGGACGCCACTTATTTTATTCCATGTTTTATTCCCTTCCATTTCTATGTAAATACTGTTATATATACTCTCTCTGTGTATGCACCGTAACGTCAAGTCAAATTCCTCGTACGTGTCAACCTACCTGGCGATGAACTTGTTTCTGAGTCTGTGGCAAAGGGGGAACATGGTGAAGAAACTCGACAAAAAAAAGTGCTTCTAACTTTTACTCAGAGTAAAAAGTAAAGAAATAAACTGCTAGTGAAAAGTTGAAAAGCAGCTTTCTCTACTTGGAAGTTGGAAATGAACCCATCTGCATCCCAGCTGATTTTCATTAGTTTGGGTGAATATCTTAGGAGTTGATGCATCAAGCTGTAGGCTCTAATTCTCTATCTCACTAATATAGAGTTCTACACTAACCTGGATGATAGCATCGTAGTTATTTCCCCGCGATAATAAGGTCCATGAGATTTAGAAACAAACATTGTGTAGGTTGTTTAAAGGATTGTTAGGATTAATATACAATATAATGTATTCTCTATTTCTGATTGCATTCGGCTTTGTAACACTATTTCTGTTAAAGAGGCCCTACATACTGATATACACCTGAACATCAGCAGGAGAGGACTCTTTAAAGTAGAGACACTACATACTGATATACACCTGAACATCAGCAGGAGAGGACTCTTTAAAGTAGAGACACTACATACTGATATACACCTGAACATCAGCAGGAGAGGACTCTTTAAAGTAGAGACACTACATACTGATATACACCTGAACATCAGCAGGAGAGGACTCTTTAACGTAGAGACACTACATACTGATATACACCTGAACATCAGCAGGAGAGGACTCTTTAAAGTAGAGACACTACATACTGATATACACCTGAACATCAGCAGGAGAGGACTCTTTAAAGTAGAGACACTACAAACTGATATACACCTGAACATCAACAGGAGAGGACTCTTTAAAGTAGAGATACTACATACTGATATACACCTGAACATCAGCAGGAGAGGACTCTTTAAAGTAGAGACACTACATACTGATATACACCTGAACATCAGCAGGAGAGGACTCTTTAAAGTAGAGACACTACATACTGATATACACCTGAACATCAGCAGGAGAGGACTCTTTAAAGTAGAGATACTACATACTGATATACACCTGAACATCAGCAGGAGAGGACTCTTTAAAGCAGAGACACTACATACTGATATACGCCTGAACATCAGCAGGAGAGGACTCTTTACAGTAGAGACACTACATACTGATATACACCTGAACATCAGCAGGAGAGGACTCTTTAAAGTAGAGACACTACATACTGATATACACCTGAACATCAGCAGGAGAGGACTCTTTAAAGTAGAGACACTACATACTGATATACACCTGAACATCAGCAGGAGAGGACTCTTTAAAGTAGAGACACTACATACTGATATACACTTGACATCAGCAGGAGAGGACTCTTTAAAGCAGATACACTACATACTGATATACAACTGGACATCAGAAGGAGAGGACTCTTTAAAGTAGAGACACTACATACTGATATACACCTGAACATCAGCAGGAGAGGACTCTTTAAAGTAGAGACACTACATACTGATATACACCTGAACATCAGCAGGAGAGGACTCTTTAAAGACACTACATACTGATATACACCTGAACATCAGCAGGAGAGGACTCTTTAAAGACACTACATACTGATATACACCTGAACATCAGCAGGAGAGGACTCTTTAAAGTAGAGACACTACATACTGATATACACCTGAAACTCAGCAGGAGAGGACTCTTTAAAGTAGAGACACTACATACTGATATACACCTGAACATCAGCAGGAGAGGACTCTTTAAAGTAGAGACACTACATACTGATATACACCTGAACATCAGCAGGAGAGGACTCTTTAAAGTAGAGACACTACATACTGATATACACCTGAACATCAGCAGGAGAGGACTCTTTAAAGTAGAGACACTACATACTGATATACACCTGAACATCAGCAGGAGAGGACTCTTTAAAGTAGAGACACTACATACTGATATACACCTGAACACCAGCAGGAGAGGACTCTTTAAAGTAGAGATGCTACATACTGATATACACCTGAACATCAGCAGGAGAGGACTCTTTAAAGTAGAGACACTACATACTGATATACACCTGAACCTCAGCAGGAGAGGACTCTTTAAAGTAGAGACGCTACATACTGATATACACCTGAACATCAGCAGGAGAGGACTCTTTAAAGTAGAGACGCTACATACTGATATACACCTGAACCTCAGCAGGAGAGGACTCTTTAAAGTAGAGACGCTACATACTAATAAGAACCTGGAAATGAGCAGGATATGGCCCCTTTGCTTATCTGTTATAGTTTGATTTACATGTTTCAGTGCTTCAGTCAAAACTAATTATATACAGTAGTGTATTTTTTTTTTTTTTAATTGGCGTATTAAGTCCTTTCTTCATGTTTATCACAGAGGAAATTCTCAGCGTTGTTTGAACGTGTGAGTTACAGCTCTGTTTCTCATTTCCTTCTTCAAGGCCAAAGCAGCAGGTCTCCAGTGTTTTGTGTGTGTGTGTGTGTGTGTGTGTGTGTGTGTGTGTGTGTGTGTGTGTGTGTGTGTGTGTGTGTGTGTGTGTGTGTGTGTGTGTGTGTGTGTGTGTGTGTGTGTGTGTGTGTGTGTGTGTGTGTGTGTGTGTGTGTGTGTGTGTGTGTGTGTGTGTGTGTGTGTGTGTGTGTGTGTGTGTGTGTGTGTGTGTGTGTGTGTGTGTGTGTGTGTGTGTGTGTGTGTGTGTGTGTGTGTGTGTGTGTGTGTGTGTGCTTATACTTGAAGCAGATTGTTTTCCATGCAGCCTCTCTTTATCCCG